GGCTGGCATAGGTGAAAAATTTGGAATTCTGTCATTTTCTTTTTTTTTTAATTTTTAAATTGATTTTTAAAAACATAAATGACAACGGAATGCATTACAATTCTTATTACACATATACAGCACCATTTTTCATATCTCTGGTTGTATATAAAGTATGTTCACACCAATTTGTGTCTTCATACATGTACTTTGGATAATGATGTCCATCACATTCCACCATCCTTGCTAACCCCTACCCCCTTCCTTCCCCTCCTACCCCTCTGCCCTATCCAGAGTTCATCTATTCCTCTCATGCTCCCCCTCCCTACCACACTATGAATCAGCCTCCTTATATCAGAGAAAACATTTGGCATTTGGTTTTTTTGGGGATTGGTTAACTTCACTTAGCATTATCTTCTCCAACACCATCCATTTACCTGCAAATGCCATGATTTTATTCTCTTTTATTGCTGAGTAGAAGAAAATGTAGGTTCTAATCTCCATCATATGGGATTAGGCCCCAACTTCCTTAATAAGACTCCTATAGCACAAGAATTAAAATCAAGAATAATAAATGGGATGGACTCAAACTAAAAAGTTTCTTCTCAGCAAAAGAAACAATCTGTGAGGTGAATAGAGAGCCTACATCTTGGGAGCAAATTTTTACCCCTCACACATCAGGTAGAGCACTAATCTCTAGGGCATATAAAAAACTCAAAAAGCTAAGCACCCAAAAAAACAAATAACCCAATAAATAATGGGCCAAGGACCTGAACAGACACTTCTCAGAAGAGGATATACAATCAATCAACAAATATATGAAAAAATGATAAGTATCTCTAGCAATTAGAGAAATGCAAATCAAAACTACTCTAAGATATCATCTCACTTCAGTCAGAATGGCAGCTATTACGAAGACAAACAACAAGTGTTGGTGAGAATGTGGGGGGAAAAGGTACACTCATACATTGCTGGTAGGATTGCAAATTGGTGCAGCCAATATGGAAAGCAGTATGGAGATTCCTTGGAAAACTGGGAATGGAACCACCATTTGACCCAGCTATCCTTTTCCTTGGTCTATACTCAAAGGACTTAAAAACAGCATACGACAGGGACACAGTCACATCAATGTTTATAGCAGCACAATTCACAATAGATAACCTGTGGAATCAACCTAGATGCCCTTCAGTAGATGAATGGATTTTTTAAAATGTGGCATGTATACACAATGGAATATTATGGAATTCTGTCATTTTCTATCAAATTACAATCATGTGTTGGATGCCCAGCCACTGATGTCTAAGATGTGCTTGACATTAACTCTCAAACTAGACTATGGATTTCTTTAAGGATTAAGTCCTACTCCTAAAGTTCCTTTACTTTGCACTGACCAACTCTGTAGTGTCTACACACAGAAAGTGCTTGGTACATCCTTAACTTCCCCAATTTGTTAACAATGCAACCTATAGTCAAAGTCCTCTCTGGTGATTTCGTGAATTAGAGAAAAGGGAGGAGCCTTGGGACCCAACACCCCAAGGACTCTCTGACTCCTCCAACTACCAAGGTCATATGTTTGATTTTAATCTACATGAGAAGTGGCCCTTTGTGCAAATCTGAAGGCCAGGGATTTCAAGTAAAATATGAAATATCTAGTAGGGCTGCCATCTTGGAAGCCCTCATTGTTCTTATACTTCAGGATCAAACTTACTGGGTACTGCAGCTAAAGAGCATGCCCAGTAAAAAGGCATCTCCCCACAGCTGGTGGAGGTGTTGTATGGAGTTTTTCCTATTTGTTGGATTAAGATAATGAGAAAACATAACTCTGAAAAGTTTAGCTGTCCAAAATCCAGTCCCAATTTGTGCAATGTGTGCCTGAGTGTGAGCACTTTGATGTCAACTTAACTTCTCCAGGGTGAAAAGACTCAAGCAATGTTGATTCCTACTCCTCCTCAATGCTGAAAGTCATCCCCAGTGCAAGGGAAAACTTCAGCCAATGCCATTCAAAAACAACTGCAACTCTTCCCAGTACCAACTAGCATGAGAAAATAAGGAAGGGGACAGTGATGTTCTGGAAGATGAGATGCTTAATGGGTATTTCCTGCTTCTAAGGTATTGTTTATGCCATCCAATTAAGCCATACAGGGTGCCCACAAGGTGTGTCCTGATACTTGGTGATAATTGCAGGGTGGCTGGAGGCCAGAACCTCAACCTCAGATAAGAGCCAAAATTATACAGCCAAGCACCTATTAATCAGGATTAACCTCCAAGGATGCCAGCTCAGGAATCCTCTTCATAAATAAGCATCTTCATGTACACTTTTAAAAGAAAACAAAACACTCATTTTCTCAGATAGAGTCAACTGGCCTGGTAGCTCCGGAAAAGATATTTTAGCCCAATCATAAAAAGAAACCAGCCAACACTCTAAAAGAAGTTAGGGTGGGTTATATGAGGCACTGAAGCCTGTCTTTCCTATCTGAGTTTCATTTTTCTCAGAAATCTCCGATAGGAAGCTGTCTCTGGGGAAAATAGAGGATGGAGGTTATTTGACAATATATTTAGGGCAACGAGATGCTTTTTAAAAAAAGTATCAATTACTTATTTCCAGAAAAAAAAATGTTTTCAGACACTATTAGATAATAAATTTTGTTTTCCATATCTCAAAATGTTCGATTCAATTCATTTGCTCCTTTTCTTACTTGCAGAGGATAGGGGGCTGGCTGAGCCCAGGAAACAAAGAAGATCCCTCCCTTGAGAGATCTTCATAGAGTGTAGCAACCTTGAACTTCAGAATGTCTGCCATCTGGAGGAACTTAAAATACAGGGGATGGGTCCCTGTCCCTTGCAAACATTGGGTAGATTTTCTCTGGTTTATAACTTATATGTCTGGCCCATTAGAGTGTTGGGGGAGAAGGGGCAGGCAGCAGGAAATTTTCAGGGGTTTGAAAGTCCAGGGTTTCTTCAGGATTTTAATTTGTTTTCCTGCGTTTTGGTAGCTAAATCGTTAATAATGAAATGAGTGCTTAAATATTTGGATCTTTTGGAGGTAAAAATCACCCTGAAAGGAATATCATTGACCTTTGGATAGGCAGTTGACAGCCTGGAGTTTAATACTTTGGGGATATTCTCTGAAATATATAGGCTGCTGCCTATAAAGACATTGCTTAGAGTTTGTTGTCATATAAAAGAAGCACCATGAATCAATTTGAAAATATAGAAACTGGCTAGTTCAAAAGAGTCTGTTCTTAGTTTCAAAGTACTTAGGTCATTGCCTTTTTTTTTTTTAAGGATACTCATAGATGATCATGAAGACAAAAATCTTACTTATAGAATGCACTTATAGCATAAAATGTAAAATATGCCTTCTAGTCATAGGGAGATGTCTGTAAGTCCCAAAATATATAAGAACCTGCTTCATCAAAGTTATTCTTCCAACATATTTTCAGGTCTAACTTATATAAAACACATTTTTATGGACACCTGACTTTTATTTTAATCTTTCATCCAAAGTTTAAATGGATTCTTACTGAGCTCCGTGTTTTAAAATTATAACTCTTCATTTTGATCAGACTTTGTAGTATACATAAATTAGCAAACATACACAGCATCTTGCTGTTAAAGACAAGTTGTTTTAATGAAAACATAACCTGAAAATCAAGCAGTATTTTTTGGAGGGAAAAGACATTGGTTGAAACAGCACTGTCTTATCGACATTAAAAATAGTTGACATAACTCAGCAAGGATGCTGAAATTTAACTTTTGTATGTTTTTATTATACCCAGAGTATCAAAGATAACAGAATTTATTCATAGAATGGCAGTCATTGAATTCAGTTTTCTGGTACAATTTTCTTCCCATATAAACTCATAAAAAATGTGATGGGTGAACCATTAGGAATGCTTAAAGCAGCCCCTGATGTATGCCCACACAGAAAGAACAGATAGATTGCAAAATGTTTATGCCTTTTACATTTTTTACAGTATTAATAAGGAAACACTGTGATTACCAATCAGAAAAGACTCCAGAGTGCTGCTTGTGAAGTGTACCATTATAAAGATTTACATCTGTATCTGGGGAGTAATATATAGCATTGATATTTTAAGGAGCTCAGTTCAAAAATCTCTTGAATCAATGAAACCTGAGAGAGTGAAATACCACCACCACCACCCCCGCAGTGTGTGCATTGTGGTTACTTTATGATTTATATGGTTAAAAAAATAGACTTGGTCCCCCGAATATTCACCAAACATTTGAAGATGGATTGCAAAGTATCTATGCAGATTTTCAGCAAAATTGTCTATCACAATTGGAAGTGAAGTGGTTGTGGGATTATCTGTTCAGAGTCAAGTCCTGCAATGGCTATCTAGGAGCCCAGGTCCCATTCCATGTCGAGTACATAGTGCATTAGCCCTCCGGAGGTCCCCAGCCCCATCAGTGCAAATCTATCTTTCACTCTCTGAGAGCATTTTCAGTCATCTAGAGACATCTAATAAATCCTTAGAAGGATCCTGAGGTGCTTCTACTATCACCTAATAGTTGGTATTTTGAGAGTAAATGGCCAGAAAGGACACATTTTCTAGTTTATAGCTGTAGCCTATATTCATTTTCCAAGTTTCCCAAGCAATTCTTATGCAGAGTTTTATAATCAGTTCCACTACCTCTCAATCCAATATGAAAGCTTAACACAGCAGCGTTCACCTGCCTTCAACCAGAACTTGTCTAAAATAATCTATGCCAGTCATGACACATTCTGCTGCAACTATCAGGGGTTAGAATTTTCTTTGTCTCACTTATTACAAAATTCAGAAATAGAGAGGCCCAGGTTGGAACAGCAAAGCAAAGAAAGCATCAGATCTCATTAACTCTACCTAATTATTTTTCCACCATTCTTAATATGGGTAGCTGTCTTTTTGCTCATGGTAAGACAACTACTGTACCTATAAACATTATAGATGATCAAATAGGAAGAAAAGAGACCTGGCAAGAGCCTAGAGCAAGACACCTTCTCTGCGCAGGGGCATTACCTTTGGTATGGGATGGGAAGCTCCCAGGATGACCCATAGCTGCAAGGAAGTCTGGGAAATCAGGGTTTGCTTGTGTTTTTTAAACTAGATCTAATAAACCAAGTAAAATCACGATTCTGCTAGGGAAAAAAAAAAACAGAATAGATGTTAGGTAATGAACTAGTAGTATCAACCACAGTATTCATATTGTAAACTGTTGGAAGATTTTTCTTTAATATCTTGAGTTATGCTATCCATTACAGTGGCCACTAACCACATGTACCTATTTCAGTTAATTAAATTACATTATAAATTCAGCTTTCCAATCACATTAGCTACATTCAGTGCTCAATAACCACCTGTGCCAACTGGTTGCCATATTGGATGGTGGTGGTAAGTTGTCTTACCATTCCAGGAAACAAATTCCTGTCTTCTCAGTCCCACATGTTTTAGTTCAAGGCCATCTTCTTTGTCTTCATCTTCAATGGGAAAAAAAAAATAGCAAGTGAACACTATTTCTGTAAAAGTGCTTTAAGATTATTGCATCACTACTACACATACCCCTTATCTTAGTTGAGTTTCTTTCAAAAACAGAGGCTAAGAAAAGACTTGAGCATCAGGAGTTTATGTGGGAGGTATCCTACAATCACCAAAAACATCCCAAACAAAAACAGGAGTCAAGGAATAGAGTGACACTGGGAAAGAAAAAGTCTATAAATGTAGGTTATTGAGGTCACTGCTGCAGGCAGTGAGGGCTCAGATCCACTGGGATCTCTGAGAAACACAAAATGCCTCCCCAGAACCATCTGTTCAAAGTCCAGAATGCTGGAGCAGGTGTCCACTGGCTCCCATACCCTGCTGGTTGAAGTTTGCCCCTCAGATGTTAGCTTGCTTCCCCTTCCTCTGTCTCTGGAAGAATGAGCTCCCACAGCTCTGAAGGAATCTTCCAGGCACAAAAGTGGGTAGATGCCTGCCTGGAGCTCAGAAGGGCACTGTCGGGAGGTACAGACCTATTCATCAAAGCTAGGCTAATATCCTGGCTGGGTCTAGGCGATGGCATGTGACACACCAAGATCTTCTGCCACACTCCTTCTGGCCTCTTTGTCTCCTTTTTAAGTTGATTTCTCTTTGTTAAGGACTGTGCCACTGCTCAGTCACAGTCAGTTGCAGATTATAGATCCGCCAACAGATATCTATGTGGCCATTGTTAGCATCATTATTGTTTGTAATATTCTCTCCACCATAAGAATTAAGAGTTGAAATCATTAGTTTCAAAATAAAAAGAGGAAGCTACTGAATTGGTATTTCTTACAAAATGCTTTCTTTTATTTTTTTTTTTTTGTATCAGGGGTTGAACCCAGGGGCACTGAACCACTGAACCATATCCCCAACCCTTTTAAAAAATATTTTATTTAGAGACAGGGTCCCACTGAGTTACTTTGGGCCTCACTAAGTTGCTGAGGCTGGCTTTGGACTCACAATCCTCCTGCCTCAGCTTCTGGAGCCACTGGAATTACAGGCATGCACCATTGTGCCTGGCTACAAAAACATTTTATATCAGTATATTTGGGGAATTGGAGTTTTCCATTAGAACAATGAATGCCTCTTCATACCCAAACATTTGCCTCAATGTTGCCTCACAGCAGACAGACAGTCCTGGTGGGCAATTTGAAAAATTACTGGCTGGACTCTCTTCAGAAATGTATCCCACCCACACAGCTACCTCAGCCCAGAAGTCTACCATTAGAGAGTTTGCACTCTGGCTTTGCATCCCAAGAATATTCTATTAAAATGAACTATTCCTAGAGTCAAAGGTATACACGAAGCCCATGTTTCATTGGTGGGACTGGTTTGACATTTGGCTTTATAATACAGCAGCTGGGAGAGAGCAATGAAGAGCTGAGTTTGTGGGGGAGGAGGCTCAATCATGACCTGGTAGAAGACACAGAACTTCATGCCAAAGAGGCAGGCCACTTCTAATCTTCCACCTCCTCACCTCTACCTAAAGACAGGAGCAGTAATGGGAGGCAAAGGCAAAGTTTCACTTTTTTTTTTTTTTTTGCTTTAAGCCAAGAAAGGCTTTGGGTAAAATTGTTTATTCACTCATTAAATATTTATTGAGCATCTGCTAAGTGCCAGCTCAGTACTAACTCCAGATACACAATGATCACCCAAACAGACATGGTCCAGGCCTCAGGGAAACTACAGTTCTAATGGGAACACCAAAAAAAAAAAAATCAAGGAAATAAATACATACAAACTCTAATAAATGACATAAGAGAAAAGAACAGGGTCCTGTGTGAACTACTCTCTGAGGAAATGACACTTAAGAGGCCTGAGAAAGGAGGTGAGGGAGAAAAAGAACATTCTAGGGAAAAGGGAGTGTTATCAGAAGATCATTCATAGGTACGAGGAGACCAGGTGTCAGTGTATAGTTAACATAATGAATTGGGAAAGAAAGACAGTGGACTTACATGGTCTTATAAAACATCCATCCCTCTTATTTCACAATTCTAGAACAAAAGGCCACATTCCAGTTCTTCCTTTGTATTTGGTAATTCCCACATACCTTCTCCTCTTAGCAATAATAACAATAACTAATATTATGTGAGTCACATCCTGTGTGACTCATAAAGGGCTTTTACCCTCGAATTTACTATTGCTAATATTTAATATCAAGATAATAGCATATAAAGCAATGCTGGGAACTCATGGCAGATTATCTCGGTTAATTCCCATCACATTTTTACAGCAAGACCCATGACACTCCTTTTTACAAGTGAGTAAAACAAAGTTGAAACAGATGAAGGGTCCACCCCAAGGTTGCACAGCTCATGACCTAGACATAACTGATCCTAAAATACATGCTCTAGTCTAAGAGTAGGCAAACGACAGCAGAACACTAGCTAGCCCCCACTTCTGCCAATAAAGTTTCTTGGAATACAACCTTTCTGCCCATTCCTTTATGTATTGTCTATATGTGTTTCCAGTTACCATGGTAAAGTTGGACATTTGCAGCAGAGACCTGGTGGTCCACAAAGCTGGACATTTATAAAACAAATGTTGTTGACCCCTGCTTTAGACAAAATAGAGGTTTTGTCAGTGATTCTTGGAATCTCCTAGAGGTAAACCCTCTGAAATCACAGGTATCCATGTTTACCTGTGGATTTTTTCTGAGGAACAGTTCTCAGATTCTCTAAAGAATTTATGACTTAATAAAATTAAGAGCTTAATTGATCCAGAAGATATTTTAGAACAAGGTTCTTCAAAAGGTGTGTGGACTCCATTGGCAAGGGGAATCACCCAGAAACTAGTTAGAAATGCATATTTCTAGTAAATTAGAAGTCCTAGGGCTGGGGTTGTGGCTCAGCAGTAGAGTACTTGCCTAGCATGTGTGAGGCACTGGGTTTGATTCTCAGTACTGAATAAAAATTTAAAAAAATAAATAAAAGTATTGTATCCATCTACACATAAAATAAATAAATAAAAAATTTTAAACAAGTAAAGAAAAAAAAAAAGAGAAGTCCTAGGGGTGGATCTGAACAAGCGCCAGGTGGTTATAAGACTCTCCAATCTGAGAACCTCTCAACTTGCAAAGTCAAAACTCACAAAGCCAAAGTCAAAATGTTGAAGGTCAACACATCAGAACTCTCTAGTTTAACCATAATTTATTTCCCTTTATATAGAGGGGGGGAAACTGGCTTATTTAAACAGATACTTGAAGTTGTCATCTTAACCACTGCCTACAACCGACAACTGTGGCTTTTAAAACTAAACATCTAAGTTCATCTGAGATTCGAAATTAAAGGGCATTTCACATTTGGCTTCCTTGCCTTTCAACATTGGACTCTCGTTTAAGCTGTTCAGACTGATTGTTAATGGCCAACTAGGGTAAACCCCTCTGCAGACGCCACACTGTGAAAAACATACTAGAGACCACCATCTGGCCCGTTCTTTTTTAGTGACACAAGTGACAAAATGGTCAAACATAAAAATTCACTGCCTCGGAACTAGAATTTTCCTCCAATAAACGAGCTATCATGCGTCTGCCTAGCCCTGCCTGTCCACAAACACATTTTTTGGTCCAGACCTGAGATGGCTGTCCCTCACAGCCCTCCCTCAGACCCTTGCTCAGGCTCTTCCCGCAACCATTTGTTCATTTCAGAGCCATGGTATTCTGGCCCTGGAATCATCGTCACATGACAGGTGGATGTGAGACTATAGTTGTTTTTAAGGTTGTGGTTTTAAATGAAAGTGCCATTACTTGGGGTGGGGGAGATTCTGTACATTTTCTATTTCTATCATTTTCTTTCAGGTCTGAGGACTGCCTGGTAAGAGTGGCTTTCTCCTCTCTGTTTGCAGGGAAGCCTCACCCTTGGTTTGGAGGATCTCATCCAGAGAGAGATGCAAAGTTAATCAGCTGCCCAGTTCACCCATAACTTCACAGCATTGTCTTCCAGCTCCGAGCCCCATGCAGGGTTTTTCATTGTCTACACCATTCCTGCAGCGATTCCAGAAGTTTCACATAAACCTATCCTACACCTGCATAATTTAATAATTATTATATCAATATTTAATTACCCTCCACCTGCATAATTTAAATCAATTTTTTTGCTTGTTTCCTCCATTTGGAGCTCAGGGTGTATGAAGCAGGTGTGCTGATGTCGAATGTGGCGTTTTCTGGAAGATTCCCTCTGTAGCATTAACGAGACCTCACTGCCTGGAAGCAAAAAGGAAACGTTGTGTTTGGGTAATTAGTGCAGGTAACCCTGGTCTGGGAAGGACCCTTCCAGTGGTTAAGTGGAATTTAGTCTGTACTTGCCCACAACCAGCTGAAGAAAGTAGAGTGCTCTAATTACTTTCATTTTTCACGGGCTTCCTGTGTTTTATTTCGCTTGCTCCTACGGCACCGTTTTCTTCAGAAATCCACTAAAATCAGTATTTCTGAAGAAACTCCACAGTCACCAAAGTCCTGCTCATTTAAGGAATAACCACAACAACAAATAATGGCTGCAAATAGTGCCAGGTGCTGTTCAAAGTGCTTGACACAGATTAACTCATGTGATCTTCAGAATAGCCCTGTGAGAATTCCAGCATCATCTCCATTAGAGGAGAAAGCTAAGGTTAGAGGAG